TACTACCTAAGATTACGGTAGTCCCCTGATCCAGCGCTTTTTTTGGTGCACGTTCGCGCCCGTTTTCGTGCCCATTGTGGACGGTAACGCGGCAGTGACTCGCGGGAATTTTAGTGCTGGTCGTTAATCTCGGTGATGTCCTGGAGGCCAATCCACCGACCATGCAAAATCCTATTTTTGGAACCTGCAGGAATAGTGTTCCCAGAATTTGAAGGCTTTTCCTTTTCTGTATGCGCCACGTATTCCATTTCTACTCCAAATCTGAGTCAATGGGACCGCACCTGGGCCAAAAGCAGCCCAGGATCCATGAACCACACCGGTTGTGGCGACGGTACTAGCCACTACCGCACATGCTGGTCTAGCCCTTCAAGAGTACTGTTTATCGATTCTGTTGTAATGTTGATCAATAATCGATCAACAAGGTTTTACCAGTACCATTTCGTATGGATGAGTCGTGCAAGAGTTAACGCCTTAGCAGTAGTACTCTAAGGCTTGATTTTCTTCGTCAAATATGTACGATAAGGGTGAATTTCGCTGGGCGGCTCAAAATCGATAAATCGATAAATGTCTTTTCTGAATCAAACTTAGATCTTACATATAATTTACTTCATTCTGAATACACAACTCTAAAACTTTGCCTACGTTCGCAGCTACAATTCCATGTAGCTACCGCTCTCACCAAATGTACTAATCGATAATCGATCGCTTGGATGTGATCCATAGCCATCAGTGAATAATATATGTAAATACCGCACTGTTTGCAAAAATCCTCAAAGCTTTGCTATTTGTAGCCCGTAGTCGAAAACAAGGAATACTGCAGAAAATTAGATGGGATTGAATCGAATAAATAAATTGAATAAGTTAAAATTAAAGCGTACCGAATAAATATGCTAAACTCGATCAATAAATCGAATAATTCACTTTGCTATATTCAAAGTATATATTAAAGTAAAGTATATTACAGTGACGTATATATTTGGTCGGCTGTTTTCAGATAATTCAACAACAAGCTTCGCTACGCCGCTGCGCTCAAACTTCAGCGCTTGATATGGGATTGTTTTTTTTTGGCTTTGTTACAACACCCAGCGGTCTGTCACCAATCGATTATTGATTTTTTACACGTTTTCAGTAAAAAAATTTAATATAAATACGAAGGTCCTACCATACCTAGGAAAGTTATCCAGCTTGAAATGCTTGAGCTATAATCCCGATGAAATACTGGAACGTTGAGCATGGCTGCAATTACATGCGCCTAGGTGGAACAAGCTGCGGTTGATCAAATTAAAATCAATAGGCGCTTGTAATACGTTGCGTGGCTGCCATTATTTCGCATTCTTGACGAGAGCTTGTGCATTAGATTCAACGAAGACGCTTTGACACCGCGATGTGACAGGCTCCATTAGCAAATCATCGGCAACATCCTGACAACTTACAGTAGCCCATGAATCACATGGTTAGTAAAAATATTCGTGCGCTATCAAATAAAGTCTAACAGAAAAGGACAGAAGGGATTTCAGTTGATGCAAATGCCTGGTACTGCTCCACTGCTCACTCAACAAGGCCTCACCCAGATCGGTCTCGCCGGTTCCCAGATGATACCGGGTATGCAAGCCCAACATCATTTCCAAGCCCTTCAAGCGCTCGCCGCCCAACAACAACACATGCAGGCCGAATTCCAATCGCTTCGTAAGTATCTCTCTTACATACGTTTCTAGCTGCCTATAGATATATGAGACACCTCGGCAAGAATCCATGTACCATGCACGATGCCTGGGCTCTACCGGTCGGTATGAAAAAAAGCGATGCGTCACCCAACAACTTGCATGCTCCAGTCAAGGGTATGACGGGTTACCGTATTTCGAGTTCTGAACACTGTATTTTGCCAGAGTCCCGTAACTGCAAAGCTTTATGGCCCATCAAAAATGATCCATCTTTTGCCGCTTTCCTGAATCTCGCCGCATCAGATTTCCGATCTTCGACTTCCGATGTTCCTCGAGGTTTATCATGTTCCACAAACTTTCAAGCTCAACAGCTCCTTGCTTGCGCGTTCCCCTCTGCATGCTTAGTATTCGGATTTCCGAATTCCGAGCTCTCCCCGCAAGGCTACTTCTTTGCCATGACCTCCCATTTGGCGCATGAATATTTCCCTCTTAGGTTTTTTCATGCAACGATTTTCGCCTACAACGGAGCCATTTCAATGAGACAAGAAACCCTAGATTCCTAACTTCTACATCCCATTTTTGATTTTGAAAGTTCATCCAGTTTAGCAGGCTGAGGATAAAGGTTGGCCTATACCCCTAATGCGTTAGACTTAAAGGCAAGCCCCGGGATAAAACCGGTGATAAGAGCGCTTCGTAATGATGACTGAGCTGCGGGACGGCCTGAAAGTGGAAAGGAAAGCTAGAGAAATCTTTGGGATCGCTGAAGGCCTTAACCTTCAAAAAGGTGGAACGATGGCGAGGCAGGGCGGTCAAAGAAGACAAAACACGCGAGAGATCACGCCGTTCGAGAGAGCAGGTGGGTGGGAAGCGTTGCAACGGGGTCGATGGTTGCAGGCCCGTAAGGATTAGCGCCCTAACCGCGCAACTTTTGCGACGAAGCTGGAGTGATCTAGGTAGGTAGGGACCTTACAATTTCCCTCGCGGTATCCTTCCCACAAGTCGGGCTAATCCGGGGTTTGCCTTTGAGCCTTTCCAACCTCTAAAGGATATTTTTCACCGAAGTCTGGTTGGCACGAAACAGCTCAGTGTTGAGAACAAATTTCCGAGTTCCGGTTTCCGAAAATCACTAGTTCGTTCAAAGTTGATTGATCGAGTTGTCTAGTTTCAGCCCCATCGAGCACCAACGGCGATGCGGCGTTTGCCATTCAAAATGGCGCATATCCGATAATCAGCATGGAACAGCATAACAGTACGTTGCTAGATTATATTAGAACTTAATCATTATTATTTTATCAGCAAAATTAACCATGTTAATTTATCGGTCATACATCCTTCTATCATATTTCACCGCTTCACACGCTCTATGTGTGGCTAAACTCATTATCGTGTGTGCGTGTGTGTGTGGTCGGTGTGTTGCGGTTGGCGGGGTAGAATCAGAAGAGTGAGTGGACCACAACAGGGTCTTTCTCGCATCGTTGTGAAGTGTGCGTGACTTCAAAATGAAGCTATGTGCGCGTGCGACACAGCCGCGGAAACTCCGCCCACCTGGACGGCTGGAACTCGTCCAAGTGGGCGGAGTTTCCCACAGCTCTGCCACACGTGGCCTTTGTGACACATTTCACAGTGCGTATGCTTCACAGCGAGCGCATGCGTTTTCCATATCAGCGTATTGGTGGCGATTTTTCTCGTACTCAACTGGATGGTTGTTGGTTGCGCTCGGCTACTGTATTTCGTACACATATGTCTATATTTTGGCTGATCTGTTCATATTTTTTCTGAGTTTTAGTGCAATTTTCGATATGTTTTCTATAACAGAGTGAACGTATGTATGTATGTTTCTCCAGTACACATTGTAGTGGTTGCTGATTGGTGATTTGGTGGAATTTTTTGTGGTTATCGTTTAGATGTGGCGCTACAGCAATTGGCGCAACTACACCAACAGGCTGCGGTCATGCCGCTCGTCACCCCAAAAGAGGGTACGTATCCGTGTCTCTAATCTGTACATGTGTGTGTCATCGTTAACTGGAATTTTCTCCGTGTCTCCGCTCAACAGCTCAAGCTTGGCAGCGCTTTTTGGAGGGGGAGAGGCTAGCGCCAACACTGGCACAGAAACCAGCAGGCAGCCGGGAGCTGCAGCAGCTCATTGTCACATTTTTGTCAATTGAACAGTCTCCCATGTTTCTGCTGATACCCCTCCCTCTTTGTCGCTATTTCGGCAGCGTGATGGTGATCCCTGCGCGGCATTCCGCCCAACGCTACTTTTGACCGAAGCTGGGATATGTAGCCAAAGTACACGCCGTGCGTCAACAGGCTTCAAAACACGTGGAACTTATTCCAGAGCTTTTCTCGCTTTTCTGAGCTCTAGCTTTTTGAGGCTGGCTCTGGCGCGCAGGGTTAGAGCCCAGAGCGGCAGGCGAAAAGAAAAAGCGTAGATTAAACGACTTCGACTAACAAGGGGGTCTTTCAGGACATGGGGCGTTTATTCAAAATGGTTTTTTAAACCTTGCAGAGGCT